ATATTCAATAAGAGCACCTTTTTTATGTAGAAAACCCTACATTTTCAAATTCTAAAATTGAATTTCAAAAATAGAATCACACAAAAATTTTGGGGCTAAAATAACCTGGGTCCGTCCCTGTTACATACGCTTCCAAACAAAACTGTCTAAAATTGTTAACATGTTTAAATCCAGCATGAAAAACTAGGCTAGAATACCAAGCCCCTTTAAAAGACCGTAGCGCTTAGGGGACGTTTGTCCACCTATGTTTATATAAACTTTTCTTCCTATTTTAAGCTCTAGAAACCGCTGGTAGAATATTGCACACTTTTTTCGGGACACCCTGTATATGCCAAAAACTATTAAAATCGAATATACGTACGTAGGTGTTTACCTTTTTTTTGTCACTCAGTATATAATAATCTGGGAGCGCAATCACTCTTCGGATAACGGTTATATTCAAAAGCTATAATTTTCTTTAAGATGGTTCATTTCATAGCATGTTGAGTTGGGTAACGGCAACTTGGCAGGTCGCTGTCGTTTCTTCCTATATTTGATATATTTTTGAAGTTGTAAAAAAGTTGGATAATCAATGGTATAATAAAGCTTGAAATTTTAATCGAATGTGCTTCGTACATTACAAAGTAGAATAACATAATTTCTAGGCGACTACGACGCTGCTAAGTACCTGCCAGACGAGTCGAAGGGTGTGCAATATACAGGACGTTGTTTCTTTCACACATGGAGTGAAAATTCAAGACACGCTTCTTAAAATTATTCCAAGCCGATTATTGTCAGCGTAACAGGCGTTATGTTGGCATTTTTGATAGTGATCTTATAAGGTCCTTGGACGGTTCACGTAAGCACGAGATTTCAAAAAACCCCACAGAAAAAATCACAAGCGGCCAAATCGAGAGAGCGAGTCGGCCACTCCTAATCATCCCTAATTGAGATGACTCACTCTGGGAGTTGTTTCCTCAAAACAGCCATAGATACTCTTGAAGTGTGTGCCGTTGCACCGTCTTGTTGGAACCAAATGTCCCTAAGTCCATCTCAACTAGCAGTGAAAAAAAAAATATCCTGTAATATGTTTACATACCGGTTCGAATTCATTGTCACTGCCACTTCATTTCCCTCAAAGAACCAGCGACCAATATTTCCATAAGATTTGCACACCACACTGTGAGTTTGGGTGAATGCAAAGGCCTTTGATGCAGTTTTCGAGAATTAGTGTCAGCCCAGTAGCGCGTGCTTTGTTTGTTAACGGATCCACATAAATGGACTTCACTACAAAAAAAGCAATAGCCTCCTCATAAGCGACTTCGAGACGATGCTCACGCGTGCTTATCCGAGAATTGATCGACGTTTATAAAGTTCCTACACAACTGCTTTTTTGTACGGATGGAACTGAAGATCACCATGAAGAATTCTCCTAGCAGAAAGATGGGAGAGTCCAAGAGCAGACGCATATAGGCCCGCAGAGCGCCGTGGTGATCGCATCATTGAAGATTTCACTGCCTCAATGTTTTCTGGTGACCTAATGGGCCGAGAAAATCCAGTTCTTTGTCTTGTCGCACCTCCAGTTTATCTGAACATGGTGACCAATGTAACAATTGATTTGCGGTCCGGGACTGGGGCCAACGGGGCTACATTGAAGCGATTCCGAAAGGTGCACTGGGTTGCGATCACAACATCCCCTCGAAACGTATGCATCAACGGCAAAAGCACGCTTCATCCTGTTCCAACGCTTGATGGCGAATGAGCTGTGTTGGGCCAAAGTTTTATAGTCCCGTCTCTCGAACGAGATCACTAGTGCTCTGCTTATTTTTTACGTTAAAATATAGTATTAATGCATCAATTTAGCTCGCTAATTTGACTCATTCAAAAATAAGTAGATGTGATTTTCAGTTTGTTTAAATTGATGTTTCGACAGTAAGCTAGCACTAATTACTTTGGATCACTAAAGATATGTGCTGCCGTATCAGAGGCCACTGTGATACAAGTTACAGTTATCACAATTCCTATTGTTGTCTTGTTTTGCTCCTATTTACAATGATTAAATATTTCACTTCGTCTCAGCTACGTTTGAATATAGCATCGAATCTGTGACACATTGTAAGAAAGTACAACAGGTACCACTAACGAATCAACAATGGAAAATTTCATTTATATACATAACTATTAAAATACCTTTGATAGCCTAAATTCATGCTATCTATCAGGGCAACAGATCAAATCTTGCTTTTGTTTGATGCGCAGTATGTCCATGATATATCATGAATGGTGTTGTACATTTTCCTACTAGAATAGATATAATTATATATTTTTTCTATAATGCGACGGCTAAATACATTTTACTAACTTCATAGAGTTATAATGCCGCGTATTTAGAGTTTAGAACGTTGGTATCCTTTTACTTTTTTTCTTGAATACATTTTAAATTGCAGATACCCAAGTATTTTTAGAATTTTAGCCATAATTTTCATTGACATCTCAAAAGTTATTTGTTAAATTTTAACTGCGGACGTTCCTTTTTTATCACACTTCCATGGATACGTGGTCTCACAAACCGCAATATTTGAAGGTCAAATTAATAACAAAATTTTGGACGGAGGCTTAGAATACTTTATATGTATATGTTACTGTGAAAGTCCGAAATTAGTGAATGTCGATATTCACCGGTAAGAGTCGACATATGTACATCAAATGACTTGGTGAAAGACCGAACATTTATAAATATCATAATAGTTTCGTAGAAACACCGGTTGACAAACACAAATGGGTCGCGGTGAATGTCGAAAATGACCTGTTATAACTGGCTTTTCGGCGGTAGTGTGTTGCCGTGTTGCCTTCGCATCAGTCTTACGCAAGGTTTGAGAGCGGGTGCGTGCAAGCTTGCCAAGTTAATTTGACATCAGGCATTATATTATTAATAATCAATAGCTAGTGCAGTAAGTCGTGATCAGTTTCCTCAAAAGTTAGAAGCGTTAATTGAAAGTAAACGATAAGACAATTGTTCCTATTTTTCTCAAGAAAGATACTCTAAAATCGTGTCTGAAGTGAATTCTTCTAAAAGTAAGTGCAGTACACCTCTGGACTCAGGGGCTCGCGGGGCCCGGGCCCAGGGCCCCGTCATGATGGGGAGCTCCCAAAATCCAAATGCTTACATGCAGTGTGTTGGATTCAAATTCTGTGAATGATAATCAAAATTTTCACTAACTGTAACGGAGAGCGGTCTTTTTTAAAGTTGAACAGTACAAAAAATGAATCAAGAACGTCCATGTCACAAGAACGTCTCACCAGTTTGTACCTTAACCTTATGTCTATAGAGAGTGACGTTTTGCAGCAACTTTAGTTTGACGACATCATTGAAGATTTGTAATTCAATAAATATGTTTTATTAGAAGTACGCCTGTCTACGATTTTTTTCGCAGCCCAGGCATGGCTTATGACGGCCCTGTCTGGACTACATGCGTTTAAAACGTTTTGACATATTACAAGTTAGTGATGATGAAAAGTTAATTGTGCCATTAAAACCATGAGAAACTAATATCCAGTATTATGTTACAAATGCAGAATTATTTGATATATTTTCCGAAACTCACATAAGAACAGGTCATGGGGGTACAACACGTATGCTTAAACGATTTCAAAACATTTTTTTACGGCTCTTCAATACCGAGGTCCTCAAAATGAAAAATGGCCAAAGAATATGTGGTTAACGGATTGACCTGCTTTTACCGGACACCCTGTGTATAAAAAATATACCTATCTAATAATATGGTTTTACTTTTTACTTTTTAACTGGTCGATCTTGGCATTCACCGGATTTCGGACTTTCACAGTAACATACTAGTAGCAGTATCTATGGACCAAACTTATTTATTTTGCTGTACTTACACTGTAACGAATTTAACATCTTAGAGCATTCATAAAAACAAGAAAATTACAAACTTCGAGCAGTTTGTCAGACCGCATATCTGTAGTTAAAGAAGAAAAACTTCTAGGCCGAATAGTTTCAAGTTATAAAAACATTTAAAATATAACAGAAATGGGAGTTTTTGATCACATAAAAATAAATGCAAGAAATAGGGAGTGTTCCTTTATAAATTAAACTGTCCTGTTTTTTGTATACAGGGTCCGTCAGAAAGAACGCATGTTTTTTAAATGAGTAGTTCAGTCAAAATAAGTATGGGAAATATATCTTACTATATCACGGAGACGTCTTTCGAATTTTTGCCGGAGAAGTTGCATCGAAGTGCCAGCTGTATGAAATGTTTCCCCGTGTTGTTGGAACCACACTGTCCTGAGACGGACACGTCGACGTCGAAGTTCCGGAAAAAATAAGTCTCATTGCACGTCACGGCGATATTCCATGGCTCCCTCGCTTCCCGGACCTGTCAACGTGTGATTTTTTTTATGGGGCTACCTGAAATCAAAAGTTTACCAAAGCAAGCCTCGGACCCTCGTCGATTTGAAGGAGGAAATAAGAAGAGAAGTAACCCAAATTCCTACACGGATGCTGGCCAACGCAATGGGCTTATTTCGGGAGAAGCTTGATTCCTGCATTTCGACTCAAGGGCGCCATATGGCCGACATAGTTTTTAGAACGTAAATTTTGTTTTACTCAGAAAAAATGGCATTTCTGAGTATTTTGATACAATAAAATATTTTTCCCATACATATTTTGACTGTACTACTCATTTAAAAAACATGCGTTATTTCTGACATATGGATGATATGGAATTTGGCAAGGTGGTCTTTTATTGTAGTTCTACTTGTTTTATAGTCAGTTGTCATTCGGCGGTTCTATAATTAGAAACCTTATCTTGTCTAGTTTAGACACAAATATTGCAGAAACTCTTCTATGAAATAAATTAACAAGGTTTTGAAATTTTTGTTTTAGCTTCATGTCACAATCTACAAAAAAATCAGCCACCTGTCATAACAGTCAGTAGTCAGTACTATCAAATTACCACGGGTCACTTGGTGGTCATAAACACACTCGTTTTTCCAACCATCTTTATTTGCTATCGTTATCAAAAATAACATAACAGAAGACTTAACGATTCGTATTGTTTGCACTAAAACCTTATGAGTCAAAACATCCCCGTAGTAACATGACTTTACCTTACTACCCTGACCTTATTATTTTTTATTGCCCATAGGTATATCGGGATAGATAAAGGTGTATAAAATCTGCTATGTAATTCTACCAAACATTACATCTTTAGGAACCATTAAAAAAACAGAATGTAATAAATGGTTTTATTTTACTGGACACAACTCGTAACCTGTAACTATAACATATGGAACTTAAGCCTTAACAATTATATCTAAATCAAATATTAATTTTATGTGATGAAAAAATGCGATTGAACTAAAATTACAAATTACAATAACACTATGAACTATAGAGAATCGTATAAGTCTATTTATAAATATAAGCAGCTTCCATTCTTATCTATGAACTGAACAGCGTGAACAGGCAAATATAAAAACTAAACTCACAAATAATAACAAAATGCAGCACAGTATATTTCTCGATAATCGGGCGTATACTTCATAAATAAAAAAAAATAAAACGTAGAGAGCAACAGTGGTTATTGGAATGAGGGTTATGGATTACGTTAATACTTCTTTTGCCTAATCACTTTCAAATATGGTTTGATTTTAACAATGTTAGAAAAAATTAAATACTGAAGTGAGGTAGTACCAGCAGAATTATGAACCAAAGTGTAGAAAAGATTCAAGAAATGTATTTTCGAATTGTTCTATTGATTTTCGAAGTAACGCTTATTTTTTCCAGAATGTTCAAAACTTGACCTGCTAGAATGCATGAATCCAATATTCTCATAGAATGTCGAACTCTTTTAAATACACCATTGTTCAGAATATCATAACACTTCAAATGCTGAATGGAAGTCATGAATGAATAACCCTGGTGTTTGGACTTTGTAGAAGCTGGAATTCCTATTATTAGCTGTCGTTGGTTTATTAGAAGCGCGTTGTTTTGGAAAACGGTCTAAACTGTTTCGACAAACCAAATATATTCTTTATCTAATGTCCCATGTTAACCAAAAATTAGATTTTTTCAATTGCAGGCAATTTATATTTGCAATCGATAATTCTTTTCAGCCGACCACACAATATCTCAAAGCGTTTAGATATAAAATGTAATTTTCAATGTTATATAATTGTTATGATTTTTATTGAACCAATGGTGCTCCCTCTGTCGGGGTAAGTGGATTACACATAATAGTTCTGCTTGTTTGTTATAAGTATACTCTCTACGCCTCATCAACTGAACTACAATTTCTACGATCTACCGCAAGTGGGTAGGTTGACTCTGAAGAAGGCGTTTAGTTCTATTAAGCTGGCCAGTACCAAAAAACACGCGTACATTAAAAGGCAAATTCGTCCGACTCGTTTATCCAGTTTGAAATTATTCAGAGCAAACGTAGCGTAGAGAAGAAGAAGTGTTGAAAGAAGTGATATTGCGCTGTATTCTATGCCAGCAGAGTTAATACCGACCTGGAATAAAGAAATGTCACTTAGTAAAGCATCAGAAAGATCCTCTCATCTTTACTGCGAAGATGGCTTGCCCCTTGAGAGTGTCAATTGAGTTATCAAACAGATAAAGCAAAAAGGCAGCTTTTTTCAAACTGAACCCTCCGCCGTACCCTTTTTGATCGCTCTTTCAATTCAAGCTTTCTTATTCCACTACCTTCCTCAAGAAACGCATCTCCATCTCACCAAACGTAAAATTGCTAATTGATAATCTGGTTTTTCAAATCTATATTTTTCAAAAACAGTCATTTGTTTTTTTTTCAGAAATAATTGATTGTCTTTGTCATAGCGGAATATCAACTATTAATTTCATAATTTCATATCCAGGTTTCCAATAGATATGGGAGTAATAACCAAAGAAAATAGATGATGGTAGACATCTGTCACAAAATGAGTGTGTGAGTGCAATCCCTGAAGAAAATAGTGAAAATATGAGCAATTACGTTAAGGTACCACTATGCAAGATAATAATGAAGCTTCAAAACGAAAAAGGCCGCCTTCGCGCATAAGAGAGATATTAACAACTAACTCTCTTGCCACTCGCTAGTGAAAAAGCAAATTGTGCGATTTCGAAACGAGGTGAAGAAACGATTATGTTTTATTCTTAAGGAACGACTGTGCATACAGTCTCACTTAATGATATGCCTCAATTACAAGTGCGCATTTCTGAACCAAATTTAAGCATAAATGTTAAATGTAAAGTCTCGTTTTCAAGATACGGGGTGTCAGAGTTTGAAAAAAATGCTGGGAAGTGGTTATTTCGACAATTTTTGTGAATGTTTTGTCATATTGTTATTCCTTTCCATTCCTTTATTTTAAAAAAGTGCTTATAGGTAAATATTGTGCATCGATCAAATTAAATTCATTTTATTCTAACAGTTTTTCGACATGTAACGAAAATATTTTATTTTTTCCTCGAAAACGAATTAGGACTCGAAGAGATATCAAAAGATAAAAAAGTTTTATCTTTATCTGCTTAATACGGCATTTTTTGCCAATATTATTCAGCACCCTTCGAGATGCCACTGGAATTCGTAATTATCTTATAGTTAGTGCTAACTTGTAGTGTTATTGCAATGAACAACATCGCCAAAATTCAACAAAATCGGCACGAGGATGTACCTTGGAAACCAGACCTTTGTTTATACGGATTTAGTGCACCTTTAACTTGTCACGTCTGAGATATGCCCTGTATTTTTTTAATTGCCTAGCTGTTCCTAGAAAGTATATATGGCGCAGAAAATAGTGGTTAGATATACGATCAGGGTCAGTTTTAAACACTCCTGTTAAAGTACTTTTAAGCAATTTAAGGTTTTAACGTTACCACCGTTATTTTTGTTTGAAATTGCTGTGGTCATACTTTTAGTAGTAGTAGCAGTAATAGTAGTAGCAGTAGTAGTAGTAGTAGTAGTAGTAGTTTTTTTTTTTTTTTTTTTTTTCTTATAGGACCGTCGCCAGGCCGCAACCTGGAGCGAGTGGGTCTACGAACCGCCTTTGTGCTGGAACCGCCAAGATGGCATAACTTCACGCACGCAGGCTGTCTTGTCTTCATCGTCTTGTTCTTCAGTTGTCCTCGTAGTAGTCGTCCAATCGCACCCTACATCTCCCATCCCGGACCTGCCGGATTAGGAGTTCGGGGATGTTTGTACTCCATCGTCTGCCTTCTTCAGTTTTAGTAGTTCCTCCACGAAAGATGAGATCATATGCCAGTGATTCTCGCTGGCAAGCATCGTGGGCACCGCCGACTCAGGTGTGAAGGTTAATCCTATTTGTTGTTCCAACCGTCTCCTCAGTACAGCCCATCTCCTACAGTCGAAGAAGGTGTGTTCGGCTGAATCGATGTCCGTCTGGCAATAGCGACAGTAGGGACTATCCTTAATGGTACGCAGGTTCAGGTATCGGTTGAAGTTCCCGTGTCCTGTAAGAAACTGAGTGATGTAGAAGTTTACATCCCCATGCCTCCTACAGTACCAAGGTTCAACCTGCTGAATAAGTGTGTGCGTCCAGGAGCCCTTAGGATCGTTCTCCCATCTTGCCTGCCACTCACGCAGGGTCCGTTGCCTGACTGCAGTGAAAGGTTTTGGTATTTCACTGGTGTCGTACAACCTTTGACGTTCCAGTGCCAAAAGATCAATCGGTATGGCGCCTGCTACTACCAAAATGGCCCCCTCAGCGACAGTGCGATACGCTGACGATATTCGCAGAGCTGCTGTTCTCTGAACTGATGCGAGTCTTCTTCTGTAGGTTTCGATTGTCATTGCGTTAGCCCAGATTTCCGCTCCGTACAGCATCATTGAATTGGCGACGTTCATCAGTACCCGCCTCTTATCTGCTCTAGGACCATCGACGTTTGGCATAATCCTAGATAGCGCGGTCACAACTTTTGTGGCTCTGTTTGCCACTTCTGTGAGATGTTGCTTGAATGCCGTTTCATGAGAGGTGATGGTGACTCCCGAAAAGTTTAGCACCAGGGGCAGGGAATGTAGTCTTTGTCTGGTAAGCACGGTCACTTTGGTCTTGTCTGCAGCCATTTGTAAGCCGTGTTGTTTTATCCAAAAGTGCACCGAGTGCGCTGCAAACTCGGTTTCTAGGCGTGCAGTCTCCATGTCCCTGGCAGTTACCACGGCAACGATATCGTCAGCGAACCCCACTAGTTGGACACATTTCGGTAGCTCGATTCTTAGGATCCCATCGTACATCGCATTCCATAGGTCAGACCCAAGCGCAGAACCCTGGGCTACACCGGCAGTGACTTTCTGAACCTGCTGACCTTCTAGGGTTTCGTAAGTCAGACTTCTGTTGGAGAGGTAGTCGTTAATCACCCGTAGTAGGTATGCCGGGATCTTGAAGCGCTCTTCTAGGGCATTCATGATATCGACCCACCTTGCTGAGTTGAAGGCGTTTTTCACGTCAAAGGTGATCAGAACACAGATACTGCGACTGCGGTGATTTCCTCGCCAGGCCGTGTACGCTTGTTCCACCACCTCACGCAGTGCTCCTACTGTTGAATGGCGCGGTCGGAATCCATGTTGATGGGCGGATAATCCTCCAGCGTCTTCGATTGCATCACGTAGTCTCTGTCGAATAAGCTTTTCAAACATTTTGCCCGCATCGTCCAGCATACATAGTGGTCTAAACGAAGACGGTGTTATGGGTAGACCCTTTCCCTTGTCTAGCAGTACTAGCCTCTGTACCTTCCATCTTGTTGGAAAGATACCTGCTTGGAGGCAAGTGTTGTACATATTCAGCAGAATAGTTGGGTGTTCGAGCGCTATAGCTTTGATAATCTCTATCGGGATACAGTCGGGTCCCGGGGACTTCCTGACTTTCGCTACGCTAGCGACGGCTCTCAATTCCTCTTCAGTGAAAAGATCAAAGGTTCCGTGGACTTGAAATTCCTTAATGGGTTTGTCCGGGTGTTCAGGGAACAAAGTGGTTACGATTTCCTTCATTCTTTCCAGCTCAAATGGGCCAACAGGTCTCTGCTGTCCAAGACGTCGCATCACTATCTTGTAGCCTAGTCCCCATACGTCCTGGTCTAAGTCATTACAGAGACTTTTCCAGCATGCCTTCTTACTAGCACGAATCGCTATTCTCAGTTGCCTTTTGGCTTCCTTGAATTGTTGCTCCATGGCTACATCTCGTTGGTCCCTTCTCTTAGCCCTTTGTACAATGCGTCGTAGCTGCAGAGTTCTTTTACGAAGTTCTGCGATCTCGTTATTCCACCAATAAACCTGTCTCCTGAAACATTTGGCAGATCTTCTAGGCATGGCGGCGTCGCAGCAGTTAATAATTTGCTGCATTGTGTTCTCCACCAAGGCCTCTGCATTCTGCATAGATATTTCTGCATTTTGAGTACCAATAACTTTGATATTGGTAAGATGTCTGCTCAGGATATCCTTGTTCAAACGGGAAATATTCCATCCCCCAATAGTGGTTTGCGTAGGTTTATCTTTCCTTCCACCATCTAGTTGGATCCTAAACCTGACATATTGATGGTCGCTTCCGGAGTAATCTTCCAGAACTGCCCATTCTGTCACCGCGCGCGCTACTGAAGAAGATGCCAGAGAGATATCAATAATTGACCCTCTTTGACCACTTCTCCTGAAAGTGGATGTATTGCCAGTGTTCAGGATAGTTAGGTCGAATCTAGCTGCTAGATCAATGATCGCTGTACCTCTCGAACAGGTCCAATCCATACCCCATGCGGTCGATTTTGCATTGAAGTCGCCAGCTAAGACAACGTTGTTGCCCAAGTTTTTGTAAAGTCTCTTCCAATTTGTCTAACTTCGCCCGAAATATATCAACTTTGTCGTTCGGAGACAAATAGATGCTTACGTAGGTTCTCGTTCCAGTCTTTAACCATACGAAACCGTTTTCAGAGCCATAGTCGGATACTGGGAAGTTGGACTGGTTGATAACCCAAATTGCAGCAGTTCCGGTTTGGTCTGTGTACCAGTTGGAATGTTTTTCATTTTTGTACTGCTCAGAAATTATGACCATGTCCACCGCGTATTCCTGCGTAGCTTGTTGAAGCACATTTTGAGCCAACTTGGACCTGTTCAAATTACATTGGAGGATACAGGCCATGGGTTTGGTGGCTGTTGTTTAATCCTTCTATCCTCTGGACACCAGGCTTGATATCCTTGCCTGGTTCACCAGTTTCCTAAAACCAGGACACCTAATTTGGTCTGCTCGATGTCCAGCTGTCTTGCAGGTAGTGCAAAACGAGGTGTTCTTGCAGTCTTTCCGCTGGTGTCCTGCCTGGCCACAGTTCCTGCATTCACCTCTTCTGTCTGCTCCAGTACACCTTTCAGCTCTATGGCCAAACTCTAGGCAGTTGAAACAGCGCAAGATCGAGACCCGCTCCTTCACCGGCCATATAGACCAGGTGGTCACTATACGTCCCTTTTGAATTAGGTGCTTTGCTGGTATCTTATCCATTACCACCGTCGCCGTCTGGTTTCCAAATTTACCCACTTTTAGTGCGGCTATCCTAAAGCGAGAGCCCTCAATGCCGGTGTCAGTCGTAATGGCTTGCGAGACTTCTGCCGTCGTTACCGAAGGGTCGATGCCAAACACAAAAAGAGTGACGTCCGAGTTCCTTGAGCGTGCATCCACCTCTTTGACCTTCGACGTTATTTCATCTCTTAAGGCATTTGCCTTACCTTCTCCGTCCACCACAAGGACTAGGTCACCATTTTCTTGTTTCCTTATGCTTGTGACATTTACATCAATCTTCTTGATGTCAACGTTTTCTTTAACTGTTCTGACCAATTCCGCAAAAGTTTTCCCTTGCCCTTTAACCACCACTGTTTCCTGACGTGCTCGACTTTTTTGTCGGTCTGGTGGCTTTGTTTTTGTCCTGCCTACTTCAGCTGCTACTTTTCCTTGTACAGCGTACTTCACCTGTATCCCACTTTTCCTGAAAACACACTCCAGCAGTTTTCTAGTGTAGTTTTTATCCAGTTCCTCCGGAGTAGTTACAACTATTTTGTGGCGATTATGCTTTATGGTTTCCTCCCTCAAGTTGCATAAGACTTGGTATAGGTCTCGCATATCGTTTATTCCGTCAGGGTCCACTTTATAAGGCAGTAGGAAGATAAATCTCGATTTATTGTCCTGCCTTCCACGGCTCGTCGATATTTTGGTCGACATTTCCATGAATTCTACTCCACCCTCTAATACTTGACCACCGATTAAGTCCGAAATTTCTGGATATCGTTCCTTGACTAACTTGACCGCTCCTTTTGCTGTCGGGCTAGCAGCATCTATAACCAGAGCCATGTCCCACTCGTCGCCTGCCTTAAGCGGATTAGGCCCCACGCACTCCGTGGTTTTATACACGTATTCAGGCCATTCAGTGTCCAAGAGGGTGGCGAATTCTTCGAAGGAGCTCCCATTTTCTACTTCCTTGTTAATTTTGGTTGCCTGATAGTCGATGTTCACTTGCGTCCCTACGTCCTTGGTGCTACAGCCCGTCTCTCCTGTTGTAGTGGTTTCGACCTGCGTATACGCTTCTGAGGTCTGGCAGTTAAGATGCTCTGTACGTAGTTCCTCAAACTCGCGTAGCTTTAGCAACACCGTATCCGCAATTCGGGTCATCACATTGACTCCCTTTTTGATTTCAGCCTTGGTATTTGTAGGCACGATGTCAGTCAATTCCTTTCCGGAACGTGACAACTTTTGCAACAGACCTCTCATTTCCCCTATCAGCTTTTCTTGTTCCATATTTGCTGCCTTCTGACTCTCCTTCGGAGGGGTTTCCTCCCGCGCTCTCTTCTGCGGCTGACTGACAGTGAAGATGGAGTTATCTCCTGCCCAAGAGTGAAGTCTGCCTCTCGGAGGCGTTCGATGTAAGGAGTCCCTCCTTTCAAAGGGATTGATGTTCCCCTCATCGTCTATTATCATTCCAGCACTATTTCTTCCACTCCCGCCTGGTTGCTCACGGGAGTTATCGCCCTGTCACTGGCTAACGGTCGGGCGGGGCCAGAGCGAGCACCACCGTCACCGACCGGTACTGGGGTTCCGAGTCCCTGCACCGTAACTTCTACCTTCTGCACTTTTCTGTTCATATTTCATATTTTATTTTGTTTCCGTTTCCATTGCCAAGTCGTCATCTATCCCACCATGTCGTCATCGTCGTTCCATAACCATTACCTCGTCCAGTCCATTGCCAAGTCGTCGTCGTCCGGTCCTTGCTGGTATGCTTCAGTTTTTAAGCGCCCGAAGACCCGCTTTTGTCCTTCCCGTTGGCGGTATAACTCTATCGGGGAGCCCTCCCAGCGTCATACCTTCGGCGGACACCTGCCGAACTCAGGGTCAAGTTCGACGAAGGTGGGATATAGGACTTGTTGGTTCTTATCTTTTGTAGACTGTGGGCGTTTCACAAGGGTTTTATTGGAGTGCAGTAGTAGTAGTAGTAGCAGCAGCAGTAGTAGTAATAGTAGTAACAGTAATATGCCGTGTCTGAGTTTATTTTATGATCGTTTTGTTTGTAAGAGATTATATATATTTATTTTGTGTTATTTTATTTTAATGCAGACCAGTCCTATACATATGTATGTATAGTATAATGTCTCCGGGATAACAATGAGATTATTCTTTCTTCGTACGTACCCAATATTTTCCTGTAATCGTAGGCATAAACGTAGCTTTTATGAACCAAGGTAGTCCTAAACAGAGCAATATATCGAAGGTATTGGAGCCTATTGAATTACTTATTCCCATCGAACCATGGCCTGCAAATAAATAATTTATGTCATAGTAAAAAATGAAATTACAAAAATTCCTATATTTTGAAATCCTATAAAAACTTATAACGCAGCCAAAAAGGTATAACTGCTTTTTTAATTATGACACATTCATTTCTTGTCAATACGGGATAATTGGACACTGTTTGCTGTGAATGCACTTTGTGATAGGAAGCTCAAAGTTGGGAATGACACCACATCATTTTTAAATGAACAATAAAACCGAATGTGTATAGAATAGAATAGAAATTTATTGGTTTCTCAGTTATAAAAAAACAAAGAAATTTATAACAGAGATAGCACGTCATTGTGATGCAGTATAAATAACATACAATTTTTTTAAAGTACATTCAAAAACAAACATATATGGACGACATAACACAACGATATTGATGCTTACGGTTTCACTAGAGTATAGAATTCTTCAATACTATATGGTTCCATTTCGCATGTATATTTATGAATGCTTTTTTTAAATATAGGGAGTGCTGAAATGTATTGAAGATGTTGAGGTAAAGCATCGAAAAGTTTCAGTGCAGAGTAATGTGGACATTTTTCGGTAGAATTTAGCTTATGTGATCTGTAGATCTATTTCTGACTCTTGCGAGTATTGTATAATTCATGGTATTAGCTCGGCATCATTAGGCATCCTATTTTAAGCTTTCAACATCTGGAACTGGTGTTGAAAGTCAAAATTACAGCGATATGGACAATTTTCAACAACATATCAAAGTTATATTACGGTACCAAAGGTTTCACTTTAGCAAAATTCTTTAAGTGACCAGAAAACAGAAAATAATTTCGGTATATTTTAGATGATGACCCCTCTAAGGTTTTACTACTACGCTCAAAAATCATCAACTCGTAAAGCGTAGAAAACTAAATTTGTTTAGTGTCCACTTTTTCGTGTCTTACCTATTTATCTGCCATAACTGGTAAAAACATATAAAAAGCTGTTTTATCATTGATATAGTAGTGCTACTGTCTGAATTAAATCAAAGCAGTAGTTTCCAGCCTATAAGTACACCGAATCTCGTAACTTTTCCAAAGAAATCATTTTTAAGATCCTTACTCCGACTCATACATACATGTACATGAACATTTGACTGCTGAACAAGGTACAATTCATCTCAATACTAAAAAAAATTATGAAGCGCGCGGATTGTTAACTTCCGCTATACTAGTTCTTGGTGTGCTGAGAATGTGCTTTCATGCGATGTGCGTCAAGTCCACTTGGATGACAAAATATTAACGAGACAGGTTTACTACCCCATAGGTATTGTATACCTTGGCGGTATTTTTAATTTCAATCAAGATAAGTAGCTGGCAATGTATTATTAGATACAGTGTATTTTATGAAGGTATTTTTATTTCTCCATTGCTCTGTAAAATGAATTACGTAAATAAGTCACTATAACTATTAGGATTTTTTTTGAGGCGCGACAGATGTATGTCTTCATCATCAGCGAGGTAATGTTTTAACTGCAATCAACTTCGTCTTTTACCCTGTATAGTGCTGATAGATCAACTAAATACTTAACATATTACTAACCTTTCACATTTTCGATATAATGAATCTAATCCCATTCGGAACTTGTTTTAGTTGCAAATAACCTCACACTATTATGTCTCAATTGGGTAGCTTATTAGAAACGAATTCTAGATTCTGCTACCAAAAGTTTTTGTGACCAAGAGGCTGAACAAACTTCATAGTTTCAGGCAATTATGAGCGGTGCACAAAACTTGTTTGGTAGAAGCAATCCAATGTTTACCTTGTTTTGCTACGATAACGCTGGACACTGCTTCAGGAACACTTGTACCAGCAGCTAGAAACGTAATGCCCATCACAGAATCCGGTATCTTCAGAGTATCGCCTGAAATTGTAAATTATTTTATTTAAGGGTTAGAAGGAAAAAATGTCTAAAATCTCTACTTATCTCTCATCGCCAGAATATTTAATTTAATATAGTTGTAGGGAATTAAATGACATTTACCTATTATTGTTATCATCCATGCTACTGCATATGATAATGATCCTATCCATACTATGCACATGATGAACGTTAAAGGAAACCACTTCTTGAATCTTGCTTTTTCACAGTCTGGTATTGTTAAAAGAAATACCACATGGATGGGCCATGTAACTATCCACGTTATCTAAAAAAAAAAGGTTTGTAAATGTAACTCGCTCAGAAGTTCTACTGTTAAACAAACGCCTAGGGCTTTATTTTGATTTTATATATTTAGTTTTTGTTTCGATCTTTTTCTAAGTTTGTTCAATGTAAACGACGTTTCTTGTACTTGCGAACATACGCGAATGAATTCGGCCTACTAAACGTGTACTGTTTAACTACTTTGTGTGTGGTTACGTCTTGCAAAACATGGAATGGACAAATGATAAAACTTTACAACTCATTGAGTTATATAGAACCAAAGAATGTTTAAACTCGAATAGCAATCTCCTGTTGCCAAAAAACGGAGCGTTAGTAATAACTTCTCTTTTGGTAATATTGCCTTTTTGAATGTAGTGTCCGTTTTTGAAATGATTGGACCAATCAAATTTAGCAATATTCCAAATCAGTTGAAGACATTCTGCAAAAGTTATTCAATTGTCCCAGATTATCGCTTGTAAGGTCTGTTATTCCTCCTGCAGTGTCTCTTTTTTTCAGTAAATTTGAAGACCATTCCCTCTTTTTCTTTTTTTCTTCGTCAAACCTGCCATAACAATAAAACTAGCACTAATAATTATATCGTCAACAGAGTCCGACATGGAGTTCGAAAACAGAACAACGGAACATCCGCGAATGCAAATATTCGTACATATAAAAATGCCTCAAACAGGTAGCGAGCTAACGAACGAACGAACAAGACCAAATTCGTTCCTTCGTTCGTTCGCTCGTGTTCGCTCTAATTTAAATGCACCTTAACATGTTGTTTTAGCCAAGAATTTTAAATTCATTACGTCACAATTAGTATGTTGAATTTTTGTTTATAAATCATTTAAATCGTATGATTCATTTTTGATAATTTTCAAGCAAAGCAGAGTCATGTAGGTATGTATATGAGCAGCTCGAATGTTTCGAGTCCCTATGAATTTTGTAATTGCTTGTCGTAGAACAGAAGGTCAATTTTTGAAAAAAGAGTGAGTTTGTGGAAACATCCGTTATCGAAAAAACAACACGTTCATAGGTTTTATTATATTATTGATGTATTACATCGCAAAGTTAAATTTTAAACTCTCAAAATCAGCTTGGTATACAACGGCCCGATTTTAGCACCCGGAGAGCGATTCTTCTTCCAATGTTGGAGGATACAGTTCCTCGAAAAGGAACAGAAATATGCCCACTTGCTGTTAGTTGTTCTACTCCCTGATTTTTAAGTACTGACCTCCAGGTATCAAAAATAGTACGAGCCCCTTTCCACTTCACTTGGCCCACTTCAAGATTTGTACCAAAATATGCCTTTATAAACTAAACATGACGAAACTATTTACTTCTAAAACAATTTATTTACTCAAGAACATTTTAGATACACTCTAGTCGTAAAAAATACATATTTGAAATCACTTAGACCTATAACTAATAGAACATCTGCAGAAATAAACAATGTGCGAATAAATGCGCGAAGTTAACAAAGCAACAATTGAAAGATTACCATTGGGTAACATCACCTTTATTTTTTATTACAGCTGAAATTCTTTGGGGCATAGTGGTAACCAAGTTTTTGTAAAAATTTGGTTTAAAACAATCCCATATTTCTTGAAGCTTTTGTCTCAGTTCGGTGATTGTACGAGCAGCATGTTGTCGTAGAACCTTTTTCATGTCGTGCCACAAAGTTTCAATAGGTGACAGATCTGGACTGCCACAAACCCATTTCAAAAGTGGTACATTATTTTCTTCCATCCATTTTATAGCCTTTTTTGAAGTATGGCACGCTGCACCGTCTTGCTGAAACACAAAATCTTGGCCGGATGTCAAACATTCTTCCATCACTGGTAAAAGCGATTCTTCTAAAATTGCGAAATATTTGTTTGTATCCACATTTCCATCAATAAAATGAAGTTTTCCTACTTCTTTTGATGACATTCTGCCCCAGACCATAATGGATGCTGGAAATTTCACTTTTCTCTTCAGACCGTCAACATGGAATGCTTAATTTTTTTTTGCGAATAACTCTACTGCGACTGTCACCAACACAAACTTCGAATCGGGCCTCATCATGTTGAGGTGTCCATTGTCTATGTTCTCTAGCCCATCTAAGCCAGTTTTTCTTTTGCGGTGGAGTTAATAGTGACTTTTCTTTGGCCTATAAACAAGTTGTGCAACTTTAGGGTTTTTACTTCACTTTTTTATAAGAAAACTTACCTTACAAGAGCTAAATCCCAGTTTATGGGCCTCTCTATGAGTTGTGGACTTCGAAATTCTCCTTCCAACAGCGTCACTCCATAGAGCACATAATTGTAAATAATTGGCACGCCCGTTTTTCACGATTATTTTTCTTAATGCTCTTCGGTCGCCATTTGTGATATTACTTTTTTTCACATATTGTGGCTTAATATTAACTGAACCAGTTACTTTATATCTTTTAACAATATTTCTCACACTGTACCGCGATAAATCTAACAAAGTTGCAATTTCTGAGTTTGATTTCCCAGAATTAAAAAATTTGAATACCAGTAACCGAATTTTCTCACAAATAACCTTTCCTCTATCTATTTTGAAAACCTTAACTACCCAAAACTATTTTAAATATATTCTGACGGCAGTGATTAATAAAAACAATTGTCATGGCTTTTATTTTTCACAGCCACCTATGCGTTATAGACTTATTTTGCATTGAAATAGAAATAGGTTGATATGCTGTAATTGCAACATGTGTTATTTTTATGCTGCAAATTTGATTAGGGAGCGATAAAGTTGGTGTTTTCTACTATATATTATCAAAATATTCATTGTTAATATTTTAAACCTATAACACCCTGCTACATTTTTATTATTTGTGTTTGATAAGAAAAAAACTAAGATTTCAATAGTTGGGCCAACTGAAGTGGGAAAGGGCTCGTATATTGAAGATAGAAGAATTATTATAACCTTCGTAAATGTGCTCTTTTTCTTTGGAAACCTGCACAACGAATGTGGTTCATCTTTTGCCTCCTCATTGTTTCCTTTCATATCGTCTTCCAAACATCTGTCACCGGCTCCAACATGTTTCAGAGAACCATTCAGATGCGCCGACGCATTTACGATTGATATTGGTTCACACTTTTCTTTCAATACTTGGGCTGGCTCCATGGGAAGTGGTGTCGCCATTTTGCCTTCTTGGTTCTTATTCTGATCTTCATCGGATATGATCTTCACTTGAACATGCACATCTGTAAGATAAATATTCCAATAATCAAGTATGACTAATTTTGTTTAAGTAATTTGGAATAAGATCAATATAAAAATTAGGATAACAAAAAATTCAATTATAGTAAAAAAAATTTCAATTTTGTAAATTGCAACTAAATAAATAATTCTAACATTTAATATCAAACACCCGCTTGTGTATGTTTTTAGATGGTTCTTCGCCATTTCAACCCGCTTTGAAGCACTTAGGGGTAATTCCGAACGATCTTTCGGTACGGCATACAAAAAAGAGTGCTCTTAGTTCAGGAGCACGGGTTTTTATGTGATTGTATGACATTGAATCGAGATCACAGGTACTTGAAATGAGGTAATTTCATTGTTTCAAAGAAATATAGCTCTTAAAATTAAGAAATTGAATTAGTTCAAAGAAATATGTATTAGGGGCATGAGCGCCCATATAGCAAAATCCAGGGGGGGGGGCAACTATTCAAAATAGTAGCAGGAATAAACTCACACGCCACTTCTTATTCAAGGATTGGGCATCTCATTAAGAATATTTCACTTTGAAGCAGAAGCCAGGGGACACGTATGCCCCCCTTGCGCCCCCCAATGGGAGCCCATGATTAGGAACATACCAAAGTCACGATACTCAGCTCAAAATAGTTACTATCGAACCAAGGGCACCCTTTTTTGTGTATACTAACCTGCTACATCAACTTTGGCCTTCTCATTTTCTGATGTACAGTCAAAACTACCTGGAAATAATTCAAGATTACTATTAATATCATTATTACTGTATTGCTAATATTGAACAGAAAATGTGTCCGTTGTATTTTAAAACTGATATAGTGCACTTGAATGTAATACACATTACATGCGACTAGATATTTTTTCAAGACTTCCCACTCCTGCTGGCGAGGAAGTATTATAAAATATATTTTTTGGATGTTATATGACATATACATCGCAAAAAAATATTTCTCAATTCTGTCAGTCTGTCTGTCTGGCTGTCGGTCTGTCCGCAAATCTTTATCCCGTCTATAACATGGAAAGTATTGCTCGGATTTGGATGAAATTTTCACACAAAGTGACTGACTATTATGCCACGGACGGCAAAGCTTTGTAGTTCTTTAAAATCGGCCCAGCGGAATGCCAAAAACGAAAAAAGACTATTGCTTTGTTTTCTGACTTACCAGCTGATCCTGATTATTATCGAAAAAAAAATATTAGGGGTAAAAAATTGAGGGTTGGAAGTTATAGGAGGGTGGGAAGGGTGTATCGCATTTTTCCATGTTAGCACATAAATACACTTCCAGCCCCGCTGATTCTACGCACCTATTAGACATATTTCCCACATCATCGATTTCCCTGTACATTTGCCCATAAAACAAGTATTTTTAGCAGACGGGTCGGCTACCTATCGATCGTACCTTCTTTGGGCCGCGGGGCTGTAAATATTGCATCTTTGGTAGTGGATTCGAGGGATTTCTAAATGCAGGTAGCAGACGGCTATATACAAACATTATGCTTGGAGTGTACTCGTAGTATATGGAGAATATATGTTACCGGTAATCTGTATAATTCTGGTATTCTATACAATACCTGGGCAATGTATAGAATACCTAGATTGCCCCGGCAATGCATAAAATATTATGAGTATTATTATCAATTACATACTTTACCTAGGTAATAAATACAATTCCTAGAGATTGTATAGAGTACCTGCTGTTCCACCAGCAATGTGTGAAATAAATAGATCTTGGTCTAAATTTATTAATGTTAACCGACATACCATACCATAAAATGACGGGCAAACGAAACAAGTTATATTATTTAAAATCAACTTTATTAAAATTAACATTCTTTTTACTTTCATGCAGAGATTATGGTGTGAGCGTCGTATCGTTAAGTTTCAGTTTCTGGGACATTAGACTCCCAAACAGCAGTTTATGGAGTAGTACCCCTTTTATCTGGTACCATACGTTTAGTTGCTTTGGTTTCGGTGCTACTCCGTCCATTTTCTTATGGGATTTTGACCTTCAGCGCCGGAAGGCATTCGCACTCATCCAGTTTTGTTTTGTAGCTGCCTTGTAGCTGTTTTGCAGCTGATTTTGCTGGAAGCCATCCTTTCCCCTCGAGCAAAACCCGTTCCTTGCTTCGTCTTTTACATACATTACCGGCTGCGCATTCGGTATTGTATAGAATACCTAGGCAAAGTATAAAACAAATAATATTTCATACATTACCTACACGTTTTAGGTATTCTATACATTAGCTACTTATTATATAGAATACCGGATTATACAGATTGCCGGTATCATATACGTATCTACGTATCAAGAGCTCTTATATCAGTCATCGAACATTGTTGCCAAACAGTTTTACACCAGAGCTCCATAGTAATGGGACTACCGTGTACGTCCACACTCATTGCTGCAATCTGAGGTTTCTTTTTTCATCAAAGGCCCAAATAGTGCATTAATGGTTCTGACAAAACCTACGTACTTTTGAAGCCATTACACAGCAGGAAAATTGTTTCGAACGCGTGGGAGGTATAGAGTCAGTCTACTTGACCCACTTTTTTCAAATTCAATGGAGAAGAAATTTCCTTACCTCTAACACATTTCTGTATGGGCTTGTCAAAATACATAATGAGTATGTAGACGATGTAAAGTAGAACAAGACATAACGCCTCATACCATTCCACCCTTTCGTCGTGGATGATGCATATCAGTATCGATACAGTTATTCCATACGCTAAGCAATCTCTCGTCAACGGCCACCAATCCAGAGGTACGACCTTTGTTCCACTCTGAAAAAATTGGAATGAATATCAAATGAAAATTAGCTTAAAAATTGTCATTCAGGCAATAGCTTTGGAAATTGACAAGAGTTGGCCCAACGGGCAAGGTTCCTTTTTTGGGTTTTTGCAGACATCTGGTAAATTATTGATGATATCTGTATAATTTCTGTCAAATTTTTGTAATGAAGCTATGCTTATAAAAATTGTCATTGCTGTTTTTGGCGCAAAATTTTTAGCACTTGTCGAAAAATATCCGAAACCAATATTTAATCAAGCGACGAACATACAAACATCTACCATTAGGAAGTGACTTATACCAGATTAGGTGGCCACATCACCGATTATATAATTTTTCTTTGACGTAAATTGATACTTGAGGTATTAAAATAAAATTAACATTTTTATGAACGTCAATTTTCTTGCGACTAATTTTATGGATATAAATTGATACTAATGCAATGGAAATATTTCATGAATCAGACTTAGTAGTTCGTTTAGCAGTTCTATCATCTGCCACTGCTCGATATATGAACAATGTTCGTGTAGAATAAGAAATTGGAGCAATGCCACGCGTCACGTACTGACAGCCACACGACAATGATAAGAGATACAGCAATAACTTTATCTGCGATGAATTCAGCACATCTTTGTCATCTAGTTTTGAGGAACTACGAATAGATTTAATTGGATTCCTCAGTGTGACCATTTGTGAAAGTAGATGTCACGTTCTGATAAAAATGGAAACTCGAAAATTTGACTTTAATCATCATTCACATAATTCTCTGAATAGAAGGGGAAAACTGAAGCTCTGTTAAATGTCTTTTCTAAGTGACAGTTCATTCTTCAAAAAGAAACTTTTAATATTCAAATATATAGAATATATATAAGCATAGAACCTGTATGTCACGGACTGACCGACAAATGTCACGGACTGACGCAAAATCTGGTATAGTTGTATAGCTGTAGTTGCCGTTCTTGGCGGTTACGTCATCAACGCCATATGAAATAAGTAAGCAAATCGAGTCTCCGTACCATGGGCGGAACACTGCGCAGACTAATCTTCAGCGCATCTGCTACTCTCTCTCCAGTACACATGAAGTGAGTAACAAAGGACCGCTGTTTTCATTCTCTTCCTGTAAATACTCTAATAAATTTAGCACGAGCTGTCGGCCTTCTACAATGATCGTATTTCCGGGTATTGTACAAATTTATATTAAAGATTGATAACAGAACAACTCGAATTGCACGCCGATGTCCAGTAAGTCGTCACTCTGATAAATATGATTGAAGGGCACTCATATTTAACGACAAAGTATTCGAAACGGAGCCGCACAACTAAAAAACCTATGTCTTTGAGCTTACCGAACAAACATTCACACAAAGGGGTAGGTTGCATGTGTATATATGAGGGAGTTGTGTATGTATAAAGGGATACTGGTAGTCTTACTTTTATTCGCCAAGAACGGTGACGACAACTTTGGCTGAGACGTTTACTTTTTAACGAAATTGTGCTTATATCATCCGAAGACAATAGAAACACAAACACGACATAGATATTTGGAGTATTTTGTAACTGGTTGGGAGATGGTGCTTGAAAGGAGACGTAAAATGTTTCTGGCCGTTTTGCAAAACCTTACTGGCGCTCTGCAACCGTTTTAGCCATATTTGTTGCACAAATCATAGGTTATTAACCTTATACTCTAGAGCTGAAGTGTGTACTTGATTGCAAATACATGTTTTATGTAGCATAGAGACAGCCGACATGACATAGTTTTCACGCCAATTTTATATATTAGAGAGATATTAGATTAGACTACGTGGCTATGTGAATCAGTAACCAAATCAAGCGTACGTGATGTCTAGGTTAACCTAGACCAATAACGTAGTTCGATCGATTTTATATGAGCATCTTCAAGATCCTATTGATACTTTGCGAATGGTATCATAACGGCGCCGTCGTCCTCGATGTTTATTTCCATCAGAGTTGCATATCGTTGTCCACATCGTACAAAAGCTGTCTGATTGAACAGAGTTGAATACCCCAAATGTTGCAAATTTAGGAAGATGTAAACAAAGTTGTGTTTTTGGAACGAACAGCGGCATCTTCAAGCAGTGTTTATAAGGAAAGCATGTGGCATGGCAGTATCTGAAATTCGCTACTAAATCAATATTGAGTATTTTTCTTCAATTTATTTTTTACGATTTCGGTGTTATTTTGTCGCAAATTAGCTTTGGTATTGAAACGTCTCTTAGAAGGAAAGTCCCAAATTTCAGGTCAGCCTGTATAAAGGACAACAGTTTAAGCTAAAAGCTTTTCAAGAAACTTAAATTGCAATGACACCCTTTACGTATTTTACTCATCAAAGTTGCGTCTAAATAACTACAGTGCTACAGACCATTGATTACAATATGTTCAATATTTCACTGACATTTTTATGGTGTCGCTTTTAAGCGAAGATTGCGTTACGAAACAGGTCTATTTAGTGCACATCTGCGTTTGAACCGACAAATTGCATCAAGTACAAAAACAAACAATTATAATAAACGCAAATGTAGAAACAAATAGCTCAGACAGACTGCAATCATTAGATACACTAGCACGTGCATCTAGTAAGCAATATATTTTGCAATTATTAAGCGCAATTCTGTATGGATGTTTGCACATTTGTTTTACTCCGATTGATTGTCTAAAATTAGACACAACGTTATATCTATGAGCACCGTCCCTCGAGTTAAGTTCTATTTAAATCAGCTGAACAATCTGAAAATCTCTCAATAAATAGCCTGTTTAATATATCAATATATTGAAAACACGACAGTAACATTCAAAATAAGAAAGCACAAAGTGCCATCTATTGTGCTGCCTTGTTTCGATAAATCTTATACTTTGAACAGAGTAGAGTTGTTCAGCGTTCGTTCGTTGTCCACCGAGAACAAGACACCATGCTGAGTAGTTGCATAGTAGCACGTCTGTGGTCGGAAGAACGAAAGCTTTATTACTAGTGAGTAACATCCAAACTTGAAATGAAGCTCATTATTTTCGTTGCATTGTAAATTATTTCACAAAAATAATAACAAAGATTTCCCACTCAACTTATTTTGGCATATTAATTTTAAAATAAATAACCTCTCAACCAAAGAACATTAAATGTATTTTATCTTTTAGTTTGCAAGGAGGTTAGGGTTGTTTTCTAATGGTTGTATATATCTTTTTTGAAATTATACTTAATAGCCTTGCCGGCCATATATCTCATCCATAGGTATCTTGGCTATACCTTGTCTGCAATTTGTATGTTAGGGTGTCCCTTATTTTTCAAAGTTTTTATTTTCTAATGCATACCCTCAGTTTTTTTCGTGTATCCCTCATAAGCTTGGAAATAAAATTTTACCATGTTTGGAGCATTGCAACCCACGATACACATACACTGAAGATAGGATATTGCGCATGTGGGCGGAGCTTCGTGACGTCACCCGGAGAGTTGTCGGCTCGTGGTTACCAGCGGCAGGATTGTCGTAACATTACTGCAGTTCACGTGTATCGTGGTTAATGCTATATAGTGCGATTTGTTGGTGTTTTTTGATGGTTTTGTGACCTGTTCTATTAGTTATCCATACTTTATATAGCCTGTGTGGTTGGTAAATTGTTAAAAATGCGGTGTGCTATTGTGGGATGTAATTCCGACAACCAGTCTAAACGGAATCCTTGCAAAGTCATGAAGTTCTACAGATTACCTCAAGACCCAAACCTTAGTAAAAAATGGCTACATCTTACAAAAAGAAAAGACAAAATCAATGTAAAAAGCGCTAGGGTTTGCTCGAAACATTTTTGTGAAAGTGCGTATAAGGTCAATTTAAAACATACCTTTTTGGGTTACACCCCTAAAAGTTACCGTGCTCTAAAACATGATGCCATTCCTATCTACATCTGTTGATGGGGAAAAGCGGAAAAGTGCTTACGAAAAAAGACAAAAGGCTCAACTTATCCCCTAGAGTTTAAGTATAGAATAAGGTCATATATTTTGGGGCGAAACGAAGGCGCATACTCAGAGTATTGCAGCGTAGAGGAAAAGGATACTCCGGACTTTACACTAACCGCATCATTAACGAATAAACTGACTGCACCTGAAGTATCAGCTGACTATACCGAGGAAGTTTTAGTAGAAAAAATAGATGAGCTCGAGTATGATGGGCTGAAAAATGTGGCCGGCTTTGTTTGCCATAAATTGCAGGATGAGAGGTTGAAAAGTTCCTCAATTGAAACTTATTCCTGGATAGACCATCTTATTGAGAGTGGATTATCAAAACCTTCCACAGCTTTCATGAATCAAATTGAGAAGCTTAATAAGGTGTTTACTACATTAAATGGGGCCGGAATAGTGATAGAAAAGCAAAATTTTATAGGCGAACTTCTGTTGAAGAGCAGCAACATTCACTGCCCTGAAAAAGCTTTTTATTTATTTTTCAGGTCAAGGATGTTCTTCCGGATCAAAGAACTGAATACAAGTTGAAAGACAAGAAACATCGTGAAAGGAAATGGAGAAAAATTGTGGCTTAGTCTTAGTCATTTCCATTTATTGTTATACCTCCAACTTACTGCAAAAAGATGATAACTCCATTTTTCTACTTTTCGAGTTGCGTACATTTTCATACTTGCATGTAGTTAGTTAGGATGTTCTGTGAAATAAGGATGAATAAATGTAGTGCAGTATTAACGTCATGAGCATGTTAATCCTGCTCCACAGAACATACTAAAATATAGGTAATGTAGAAAAATCTTGTTTTTACAGTAAAGTGACGATACACGCTCTATTGTGGAGTTAGAAAGCCATTTAAGCTATAGCCTGTGAGATAGGAATTACAAGGTTGAAATCTTTTATTTAAATCCGCCATTTTGTTTTGTATAAAATTTTAATGCAGATTGTGTGGCTCGCACCGCTAAGACGAATCCAACGACACTTCATATGTGAAAATCTATCAAGCCGTTTGAGCTGTAGCCTATGAAATATGAA